AGATATGACGAAAATTTTCAATTGTATCAAGACATGATTGACGAAATCCATTCAGAAGAGTGCAAGGTATACTAAAATAAAAGATGTATACTTAATTCAAAATATTTGCTTTGCGACATTCTTTCAATTCATTGTCTTCTTAACAAACATCACTCATGATATCTTTGCTCGATAAGCTATAGTCCTTTGGTCTAACATGCAGATTGCAATATTTATGTTTTTTGCTCTTTTGTATTCTTTTTATGCAATAAAATATATATTTATTATGTATTATAGCTATGATCATATAGAGGTCGAGATCTGCTACAATTAACTCTATTTTAAAAGACAATAATTATTAATAAATAGAAGTGATTACCCATTTTTTTTTGTATACGTGATATTTGTCTTATGTGGACTTTTTTAAATATTAATATGACGTATTTTTTATATTTTTCTTGTTCGAATATTTAGTTATCGTTTGCCAATAGCAATTTAATTAATTGTTTTTATTCGGATATTTATGAAAGAAATAAAGATTGAATTACAAACTGAATGTTCACTAACAATGTTATTCAGCATGACGACTATCAGTTGACATGGCCAGAATACGAAGCATTTCCTGTACCGCTGACGCTGTCGTAGCAGCGCTGTCATGGACATCTCCGATAAAAGTAGATGATAATAATGAAGAACTTTCATTAAACACATATAACGGGAACAGCACTCCTAGACTTAATTATTAGAGTGCTTGATAGATATTAAAGATGTTACTTTTCTGTATTAATTCAATATCATCTATGTGAAATATATCAATATCAAAAGTCTATGTCACACTTATTTGCATATATATTTTCTTTCAACTTTTGCATAAATTTAATTCGATGACCTATTTGCTATGGTGTTCTCTAACAACAATCCAAGTATGCTGGTAAAATAATAAAAATTCTTTTTAGAAAAAATGACTACAAAAATCATTTCTCAACATGAATTTGAGACCAAAGGACTATAAGTTTAATAGTTTTGTTCTTTTTTTAAAATTTATAGAATTCTCTATCAAACTATTGTCATACACACTTACATATCTAATGCATTTGTCTGATGGACTAAGTTCCATAATGATTCACTATCAAGATTACACGACCATTTCATAAGTAACTCGAATATAGCTCGATGTTCAACTTGTGATTTTATACCAAGTATATCATAAATAAAATTTGAATTATTTAACGATACTTTTGATTCATCTAAATGAGGTATATATCGTCGAAAGACTGATGTTTGACTATTTGTTGGTAATAAATAAACATCGCCAGGTTTAAGTAACATATCACCATAAACGGGAATCCATGCATGTTGCCGTACTGACATACAAAATGAAGATTCAATACCTTTTATTGGCGTATGATGACCGAATTTATGTGGACGAGTCAATATCACGGAGCCTGCATAGTAATTAGAAACATATTGATGATGATGATCGAAATATTGAAGTAGTTGAACACATAATTCGAGATCAACTGTTTGACTTTCGTCAGATGGTGATATAAGTTTATTGAACTCATCAGAACGATAATCTTGTATTATAAATGGTTCATGAATCA